TCAGGGCATTGACTTATTATGGTGGCCCCGATTGCAAATGCAACTGAGGTATGACAAAGATGTTAAAATATATGGTTTTTATAAAGATCAGACAATGTTTGATCAGGTGTTGTTGACTTCTGATGAAAAAATGATTAAAAATTGTATAATTTTTTATTGACTTTAAAAATGGAAGATGAACAAGTGAAAGAAACAATGATAATATGGGCAAAAAAAATTGGATATAATATAGAATTAGAGAAATGGCAAAATCTTTGGGAAAGAAACTATAAACTGACAATGGTTGCTTCGTAAAAAGAAAACTTATATAATATTTTTATAGATGGTATTTTCCATCTGTTAGATTAGTAAAACTGTTTTAAAATACGTCTAGTAAATGTTGGAAATGTAATCAAAATCCCAGTACATATTATCACTTGTGGTGGATATGTGTTAAAGAAAAAAAATGGACAAAAATATATACTTTGTTAGAAAAGATGTTAGGGAAACTTGTAGATTTTAATCCTGATTTTTTTTATTTTTTATTTTAGACCAACAAAACAAAACAAAACACAACAAACATTACACACATACACACATAATATATCCTTTTTTGTTAACAGCAGTTTGTAACAGTACTCTTCTATTCTTTACATTTCCCCCCTCTTTCTTCTTTGAAATATTTGTCCTTATTGCCCCATTGTTTCTTATTTACATTTTCCTTCTTTCATATTCTACTACTTAATAGGAATCCAACATTATTCATTGTAGTAACACTCATATTTTTTATAAGACTTGACCGGAATTCCATCTAAGCATGGTGATCATACAAATATTCTCATATTATTTAGTGCATATACTGTTTTTACTCTAATACTATTTCCAACATTAAAATTCACCCCTTTTCATCAAAGTATATTTATTTAATTTTATTTTTCTTTGACATATATAATAATTCCTCCTTTCTTGTTTTATGCTAATATTGTGTATAATGTTTCTAAATTTTACTTTCTCTAGTAATTTTCTATAATCCTATTTTATGTGAACTTCCTAAAGATACATCACATCTACATCCTATTTTCTTAAATTGTTAAACATCTAAACTCTTTTTCTTGATATATTTAATCCATTAATATTTATGGAAAAGAGCTTAATTACGTCTCCCATTTTTAACTTGATCTATTTTTTTTGTTTTTATTTTGTTTTATACTTCTTGTCTCTATAAGTCTTCCTTTTGCTTCTCTTTCTAACCTTTCTCTTTCTTGTAACTTTTGTATTTTTATTAGGCACAATTCCAGAAAAGTTTGATAAACAAAATGTATATTTAACACTACGTATATTAATAACAGTGAGGATTATATTGCGCAGCACTAGAAAAATGAGACAATACCATCGAAGGAAGCGATAATTAAGAAAATACTGGACTGTACAGAAATGGATAGACTCACACTGAGAATCAAAGAAAAAGAAGACACAGAATACTTTCAAACATGGAACCTATTTTATCAATGGCTGGAAAAACGAGATAGAGAGTAAAAACTTAACTTTTATGACTAAGCAACAATCAACTCAGACAACACGTTGTTCATTAAGTACTAATGAATTATAATGATAGAAAATTAATAAAATACTTTTTTTAAAAAAAAGAATTATTATATTTTGTTGGTTTTAAAGAAATTAATAAATTGTTTAAAATAAAGTTAGTAGAAAACAGAATCTTTGCTCAGGATCAGAAAACTTATTCAAGATAACTGATACATTAATCAATCAATTAATTAATTCAGTCTCTTGTTAGTGAGATGGACAGCATACAAATCTAACTAAATAAAATAAAAATTAAGTTTTTATAGTATTTCAGCCAGTATTATCTTTACATAGACAAAGATCACATTCGATTCATTTTTGCTTGCTTTTTTCTTGTCCCAAAAAGGTGTTTGTTTAACCTGGTTTGCAATGGACTTTTTAGTTTGAACATGGGACAAAAGATGATCTGCATTGATTGCTATGAATATGATTCACTTATTGTATCTACCTGGCAATATATGCAACTGAAAATGTAGTGACTAACCAAGATGGTCTGGATGCTTTAGCAGCCTCAGAGCCACCTGCATTGTTGGGTTTCTTAAGACATAAGGTGAAGCAATATCTATATATGGGGTAGATTTAATGATGAACTTGAGGGCTGAATTCATTTAATATTCATATTAAATGGGCATTATATAGATCCTTCTTTTTTCTTGTGCCCTTTAAAGTTGTTTCCTTTATATATATATATATATATATATATATATATATATATATATATATATATATATATATATATATATATATATTTAAAGTCAAGCAAATAAACATGAGCACCAGGGGGTATTTAAAAATTTTAGTAAAATTTAGTAAAATTTAATACAATACCAATAAAATCACCATAAAAATTAATAACTAATAAAACGCCTAGCTTTCGTCAGCAACTGCTGACATCATCAGGGCTCAAAATGCCGGTCAGTGGGAGAGTCCTCTTTATAGATTGGCTACCCTTTCCTCTCCCAAAAATGGCAGGCAATTCAACGCCCCCGCCAAGGGTGTTTTAAATGTGGATCTCTTATCAGGCGACGCTCTCCCCTCCGGGTGTCCCGAGGGGTGCGTGCAATCCCCCAGTCCACACGTTAGTGCTCCTGTATCTCCCGACGCTCCTTCGGATGCTCGGAGATGTCTAACCATTCTGGGGGTGGAGGGAAGTCCCGATCGTTGTCTACATTCCGTTTGAGTATTCCGTATCAACAGACAGCACGGAAGAGCTCTCAAAGCGACAACGTGCAAACAAGGAGCAAGGAGGAAACAAGGGGTGTGGCAGTAATTAACTCGAATAACATCTGTGGAGACCATGACTGGGGAAAATACAAAGAAAACAAGAGACAGTGCGTTGCAACGGGGCAATCAGAATGGAGTGGGGAAAGGGGAGGAGGGAGGGGCACAACTAAACGAAGCAGGGGTAGCAATAAAGCAAAAAAGGAGAGGGGGGATGTTCCATCAAACCCCGAATTTGGCAAAGAGAAAACACCCAATGACGGCTACACAAGCAAAAAATGCAAGAAAGCAATCATTGCCAATAAGAAACCGGCAACCGAGAAACAGCCTATTGCATCAGGCCCAATGACAAGATCTAGGAGCCGAGTGCAGACTCTGGCCAATCTATAAAGAGGACTCTCCCACTGACCGGCATTTTGAGCCCTGATGATGTCAGCAATTGCTGACGAAAGCTAGGCGTTTTATTAATTTTTATGGTGATTTTATTGGTATTGTATTAAATTTTACTAAAATTTTTAAACATTCCCTGGTGCTCACGTTTATTTGCTTGGCATTATTATCATCTCCATTCAATAAAGTACAGGAATAGTGTTTAACATGAGAATAATTGAATGGCGATATTCCTTTTGCAATGCTTTTCTGGATTTACTGTTTTCAGTATTCAATGGGTGACAGTATAAGTAAGTTTAAAACAATAAAATGAAAAGATCCTATCTGGGACAAAGAGGAAAAGAACAAAGATACTATCTGATTAAAAACAAAAATAAAACATATCAGGTAGCTATAAACTATCTGAATACAATTTATGTTGACCCTTTGTTACCTTTTTCCCATTCAATGGAACACTATTTCAATCCTGAATTGGAACACTATTTTTGATATGTGTGTGCACGTACACATATATGATATATATACAGGCAAATAACACAACTCTAATTGAAGATATCATGGGTTAAACATGAATCTAGGTGTCTCTTAGGAACACTGATATTGATTAATACTATTCAGTTACTATTCTTAATGGAATTGTCTTAACTCAGATTACAATATAGATTATATAACAGAAGTAAGTGTTTCTTATGGATTGGCAATGAAAGTTAATTCAATACAGTTTCATTATTCTGTATTTTTCAGCTAGTTCACATCACCTTTTTCTCGCTTTGAAGAGGCATCAATAGATTGTTTTGAATCTATGGGTTTAGTTTTTGGCATTAATGTCCACTAATATAATTTGGAATGTTTCTGCTATTTGTTTAAGCTGAGTGATAAACACAGTCATAGGAATGGCCACCAAATTATGTGAGGAAAGGTTAAATGCACTGAATATGTTTAAGTCTGCAGGGGGGAAAACATTATGAGATATTATAATGCTATGAAAATCATTTTCAAATATTTTAAAAATTGTGATATACAGTAGATAATAAAGTATGCTTTTTTTGTTCCAAAGTTGGATTGTACAACCTGAAAATATTGGGCATATTCCACAAAGCATCTTCAAAGCTTGATATTAAATTAAAGTTTTGAAAATGACTAAGGGAAAGGAAGAAATTATATGGAAAGTTTTTATATTAACTGAATTAAAATAACCTAATTTTATTATTGATTTTTTTTTAACTTTGGGCATGTCATTTAAGGACCAAGTAATTCTTTGTTAAAAGTTGTGTTCTGACTCTACATTGAATAACCAAACTATTTGGGTCTGTTTGTAGAGAAAATGATGAAACATTCATTGTAACCACCTGACAGAAACTCTACCCCTTTTGTATGTATGAAATACCACAATGAAGGAACAGAGTTGCTCTATAACAGCGGTTCTCAACCTGTGGGTTGCGATCTCTTTGGGGGGGTCGAACGACCCTTTCATAGGGGTCACCTAAGACCATCGGAAAACACATAACCGAGACACCACTCCTCTCATAGCAATCGCACAAGGAAGTTTGCACAGAGGAGATTTTGTTACACACAGTTTTCACAACTAGAAAACCCATGAGGAGCAAACTCTGGAAAGTTGCTGCTTTGCTGCTTCCTCGCGTGTTGCACAACTGGCGGGATTTAAGGGCATTCACCATCCACTCTCTCCCTCCCCACATCCTTTCCTACTCAGAAAGTGTCTGCTAAAAATCCACAAGTCTTTTCTACTCTGCACTCCAACTGGCAAAAAAGTAAAGTCTGAAAAAGCTGGCAATTGTCGGTGTGGTGTTTAAGACATTGCTTACCACCTTAAGAAGGTCCTGGGACTCTACAGAAAGTTGGACGCACCGCTTTTTTTCTCCGATGGGTGGATAGAGTTTTGGGAGGGAGAGAAAAAAAAGCTCATCTCCAGGAAATGAGTAAACTAGAAAAAAAATCGTAGTAACTCTACCTTCGTAGCTAAAAGCAACAGGCGTGTAGGATGCTCGGAGAAAAAGGAAGTGCTTCAGACAGAGGTTTTGATCGTAATCGGCACAGAAAGAATCCTGAAACCTGGCTTGAAAAAGCAGATAAAGCGGATTCTGTTGGTCCTTGTTTAGTCAAGTAAAACGTTTGTTGCGGGACGCAGTAAGTACAGCATTTACTCCTCTGCCGCAGAAAATAATTTTTCATTTAAGATATTGGTTTTTCTTTTCTTTTGGACATCTACTTTGTCTCTGAAAATGCAAGATGCAAAGTGGAATCTGCTGTTTGCATTTACTTTGTAAAGAGTATGCAACCCCATCCCCCACCCACTGCTGTCTTTTTCGCTGCTAAAGATAGGAGTCACTTTTGCGTTTTTTCCCCTCCCCCCTTCCTTCCGCTCGCAGCCTTTGAACATAGCTGCATGAAGAGGAGGAAAGAATGGACATACACCCTTATCAGAGCAGATTGGGGATCACTCTGTATTTGGGGGGGGGGGAGTTTCAAATTTGCCCCGGTTTTTTCCATAGTCCGAAAAAAGGACCAGCGAGAATGAGTTACAGAATAGGGAATGGAAGAGACAAGGCCCTTCAAACTTTATGAAAAAATGAGGTACTTTTAAAAAACAAAAAATGATTTCCCACGCTGCACTTTCCTCCTTCTAGGAGAGAAAGAAGCAATCTTAACCTTCACACTGATGTTGGCTTTTTACACCTACTGTCGCAAAATGTAGCAATGTAGTTTACTTTTGTTATATTAAGATTGTTACCCATGCTACACCATACTTCAGGACAAAATTTCATTTATTTGTAATTAGAAATAAATATTTCACAATATATAATTACATATTGTTTTGTGATTAATCACTATGCTTTAATTATGTTCAATTTGTAACAATGAAAATACATCCTGCATATCAGATATTTACATTACGATTCATAACAGTAGCAAAATTACAGTTATGAAGTAGCAACAAAAAATTTTTTATGGTTGAGGGTCACCACAACATGAGGAACTGTATTAAAGGGTTGTGGCATTAGGAAGGTTGAGAACCACTGCACTATAACAACATGTTGCACATTTTGCCACTTTGCAATCATTGTGGTTACAAAGAAATACCAATAATCCAAAGGAGCAACAAAGGTGATTTTTAACTAAACACTAAAGGAAGTATTTCATGAAAATAGTTGCTTAAGTGGAATGGTCTATTAACAACTTCATATTCAAGAGATAGTTAGAAAATAATAGCCACTTACTAATTCCTCAATCATCTGGAAAGAGGGCAGCCATCTCACCAGAGCGCAACCAAAGCTGAGATCAGAAAAGCTCTCCAACCATCTAGAACAGGGGTAGTCAACCTTTTTATATCTACCGCCCACTTCTGTATCTCTGTTAGTAGTAAAATTTTCTAACCGCCCACCAATTCCACAGTAATGTTGTTTATAAAGTAGGGAAGTAACTTTACTTTATAAAATTTATAAAGCAGAGTTACAGCAAGTTAAAGCATATAATAATAATTACTTACCAAATACTTTATGTCGGACTTTCGCTAAGTTTGGCAGAATAAATCTTTATAAAACAACTTACTGTAGTTAAATCTATCTTTTTATTTATACTTTGCATACATAGAAGCATGAAGTGTGATGAAATTACATTTAATTAATTAAATTATTAATGAGATCCCTGAGGCTGATGCTGTTAAACTAAATACTGGATATCTGGCTCAATCTTTGTAACGAACAAACGAAAGTCTCCTCTTTCGGAAATATTCAGGTGGTTTTTTTCTTTGGTCATAATATGATTAACAGCACTAAAGCCTGATTCCACAAGATATGAGGTAGGGGAAGGTATCAATAAACTGAATATCATTTTCCACATATTTGAATATAAGACAGGCATTTTTTTACTTTGTCATAGGTTTTCATATCCACCACTATCGAATGTATATTTACTTTCTTCATCATATCTAATTTCTAACAGTTCTTCTTGCCAGCCTCTTCAATATTTGCGGTAAAAGGATTTTTCATCCAGTCATACACCTTCAATGTCAAAATATCTTCAAATCGTTTTTCCATGTCCAATTTAAGTTCGTTGAGGTGGTTACTGAATTTGTCAATATCCGCTGGAGTTACATCATCTTTTATAGATGATAATTCAGGAAACTGATGAAATTCTCTCTTCAATAGATTATAACGAAGTAGTTCAAGTTTGTCAATAAATAATGACACAATACTTTGGCAACTTATAAGAGTTTTATTAGCTCCTTGAAGCTGCAAATTGACATCATGAAATCTCTTGAAAATATCTGCCAAATAAAAGGCATCATTCTTTACTGTTTTTAACTGTTGACACAGATTGGTCTCATTATTACTTTCAAAAAAATTGTATGACACTATCATATAATGCTACAAAACGAGCCAAAGATGTATCCTTTGACAGCCACCAAATTTCTGTGTGCAAAAGTAATGTAATAAAATCTTCATTATTGTCCTGGCAAAGCTGTCGAAACAGTCTATCATTTTTGCATTGGATTTGATCTTGTTTATGGCTCAAATTATTATAGTTAATGATGAATGGAGACTTGTACTTAGATGTTTTCCTACAAGATGTTGTCTGTGCACCACACAATGAATACATAAAACATTTGGCACTTCTTCCTTCAAATAAGCAACAAATCCATGATAGCAACCTACCATTGAGGGTGCTCCATCAGTAGCGCATGCAACAATATTATTCAAAGGAATATTATTTTTTGTAAAGTATGATTTCACAGTATTAAATATAGATAATCCTCTTGTATCTGTAATGAGATTTATTGCGAATAGCATTTCTTCTTGTAATGTATTGTTTTCATCAAAATAATGTACATATGCCATCAATAAAGCATTATTATCTGCAATGGTAGACTCGTCCAATTGCATGGAAAATGAAGAGTTTTGGAGAATACTTATCAGGTTTTTTTTCAAAATTAACTGCCATTTCTTCAATTCGTCGCTTTACTGTGCTATTGCTTAGGGGCAATGTTTTTAAAATTTCACGTATATCCTGATGAATTACTGTTGAGATAAATTCTTTTATAGAGGGTATTATTACAGTTTCTCCAATATTATAGCTTTTACCACTTTTTGCAATTAATTGTGAAATGCGATAAGTGGCAATTAATCCATCTTTGTGGCTGCATGTTGTTTCTTAAATGATGCAATGATTGTTGAATGATTTTGAAATTTTTTATATATTTCCTGAAACTATTCAATGGGCTTGTCCTTATCATTTGGATGCTTTGTAGAAAGATGTTCTTGCAATCAACTTGGCTTCATTGCCTCATTGGATAATGTTTTATGACACAATAAACACATTGGATGTTGTTTATTTACAACAGATTCTATGAAACCCATCTTCAGATACTCTGGCAAATAGCCACGAGTGTATTTCTTTTTTTGAGACATGGACTCACAATATTTTGTTTGAAGCTGTAGGCACATGCTCACTCTCACAAATCTAACTGCGTACTGACCAATGCGACCACAAACAAAAGAGCCTGCGCCATGTATTGTCGTCTGCGCATGCCTCTCGCGCATTGTGGATTGGGTTTGAAGGGGCACCTGCTACTAGGTCTGCTTGTCTGTTACAGCTGAATGGTGATGATGCATGAGGGAGATGCACGAGCTATTCTGAAACGAGGCTCTTTTGTCTGCAGTTGCACTATAGCACCATTTAGTTTCACTTACGTAACGTGAACTAAACTTATGCACGGACGATACAAATAGTATATTTTCAGAAATTTAAATTGTCACGGGGAATTTTATGAAAACCTAATGAAAATGTTTTTAAATAATGCTATGAAATTTTTTTTTAAAGTCAATTAAATTAAAAAAGGGAGGGAAGTGCTTCAGTATTGGACAAAAGCCCTACCACCACCATGAAAGCTGGAACGCCCACTAGTGGGCGGTAGGGACCAGGTTGACTACCACTGATCTAGAACCTAGGGTTACTAGGGTTCCAGAGTAAAGCTGCTCAGTTCTGGGAAATTTTTCTAAGTTTACCAATTCCTTTCAATAAATTTGGCTAAAGAAGCTTGTGAGAATCTTGCTATCAACTAAGACACACACACACACACACACACACACACACACACACACACACACGGGGTGGAATTAAATCTCACCTAGCAAGAATATTAAGTTGTACATAACTCAGAGTCGCCTTTAGTGAGATGGACCACTATATAAATGAAATAAATACACACATACATTCATGTATACTGTAGCAGTAGATTTGTTGTGTTGTAACAATAATAACAACATAGAAATAGATCTGTCAGGAATTTTCATATATTTTATTTTGCAGAATTTACAGTTGGGACATGAAGGAAATTTCTAGAAAATGTAGGCCCCAACGGATGGAGTTAAATCAGAGGATAGGGAGGTAGGATAATAAATTCGAGCAACTGAAGAGAAAGGATGGAGAGGGAGCAAAAAAAAACAACAAAGCTATGACAAAGAGAGAAATTGCCATCCCAAGAAAGAGCAACAGCAATATCTTGGCCTAGAGACAGTATCCTAGCTGCCACAAGAGGTGGACTCCATAGGTCTCTCCCTGGACCTGCAGAGGACATGTTTAGGAGGCAACAGATTGGTGAGAGACCATTTGGCCAAAAGGGACAGACTTTGGGATATTTTTAGCTTCAGCAACATTGCTCCCTATAAGATTTAATGTTTTATATTATTATGTTGTTTAATTTAATTTTTATCTTAACTGCCATTATTTTTAATTAAAGTCTGTAATTCCCTCCAAGGTACGTTGGTGTGCCTGGGTCAGGTTGGGCTGGTCATCTGGGAAAGAGATAGACGGGCCCAATTGCCAGCAGCCTTTTGGGGAAAGCGCCATATAACTATCAACTAGGGAAATTATAAGTATGTAAAAGGAACTCTTCATTTAAATTAAGGCCAAAATGCCTGCTGGGAGAATGTAGCTTTGGTATATTTTTTTAAAATACTTACAAAGTTGGAACTATCCATCCCTTTGGGAAAGTTTTGCATAAAATGGGAATTACCAAAAATAGGTCTGTCACCTGATCTATACCTCTTGAACCTCACAAAGAAAAGTCACAGCAGGCTCTGTCTAAACACCAGAGGAATTGCTTCATTTTTATTACTGATGGAAAACACTGCTTCCAATCAACAACCTTTATTGCTTTAAGAGACAAAAAAGACTTGATGTGATTT